GGGGAGCAGGAATCTCCCCGTAGACGGCTCCGAATACGTCTTGCCGTGGACCATACCTTGGGAGAGGAGAGTCTTGAATGGTTCAAACGGCGTCGCGACATTTCCAGCTCGGGCGATTTCCGGGAACAATTCGGATTGGGAGAGGAACTTGTAGATGAATCGGGCGTAAAGCAGGTGCAAGATCGCATGCTCAACACCGCCAATGTAGACATCGACCGGGCGTGCCGCTGACGGCGAGAACGGCTGTGCCTTGTTCTTCGGGTCCAAGAACCGGAGGAAGTACCATGAAGAGTCGACGAAGGTGTCCATGGTGTCGGTATCCCGCTTAGCAGGCCCGCCACAGCTCGGACATTTCGTGTTCACCCAATCATGGGATGACTCGAGAGGGTTGCCTCTCTTGCCCTTCAGCCAGTCCCCTTCAATCTTGGGCAACTTGACAGGGAGCTGGTCATCTGGCACAGGTACAGGGCCGCAATCGCCGCAGTGGATGATAGGGATGGGAGCCCCCCAGTAGCGCTGTCGGCTGATCAACCAGTCTCTAAGCCTCCATTGTTCGACAAAGTCACCGCGTCCGACCTGTTTCAGATCGGTGACAATCTGCTTTTTGGCCTCGCTAGAGTGGAGACCCTCGTACTTCCAGCACAAGGAGTTAAGATACCCCTCTTGCGTAAAGGCCTTTGCATCCGCAGAGGAAACAATGCTCGCATCACCACTGTCTGCCCCGGCTTCCCCTTTGGGTCCAACGACAACGGGTATGGAATCGGGGTTCACATTATCTCTGAAGAAGGCAAGGTCTCTGGCGTCGTGGCCTGGGACTCCCATCACTGCGCCCTCGCCGTAGTCACTAAGGACGTATGGTGCTGCAAATACAGGCAGCTGACGGGCGACATGGGGGCTCTCCTTGTCAATAACATGCAGAGGGTGAGAAGCAGTGACGCTGGATAGTTTGTAGCCAGCCTTGGAGTCAGGCGGAAGCGACGCGGCAGTATCCAGGAATTTGCGCAGTTCCGGATCCTTCTCCGCTGCTTCCAGGACAATAGGATGATCCAGAGAAAGGGCGAGGTACTCGACTCCGTAAAGAGTATCTGGTCGCGTGGTGAAAACATCGATATCGATGTCTCTGCCATTATTGCCATTGACAGCCACAGGGAACTTGATCTTGGCACCCTGCGATTTTCCAAGCCAGTTCCGCTGCATGGAAAGGACACGCTCCGGCCAGCCGCCCGCCAAAGAGTCAAGATCCTCTAGAAGCATTTCCTTGAAATCCGTGATACGGAAGAACCATTGCTTCAGCTTCAGCTTCTCGACCTTTGCTCCCGAGCGCCAAGAGAAGCCATTGGCATCGACCTGCACCAAGAGTGAGCCATTTGAATCCCATGTGTAATCCAAGCCATAACACCCACCTGCTCATTAGCCAGCACCGTCTTATCAACCGGATCGTAATTGACCAACGCCTCAGCTTGGTATGCAAGGCCCTTCTCGTATAGCATAAGAAATATCCGCTGGGTATGTTCGTAGAACTCGGGTGCGCACGTCGCTAGTTCCTGCGTTTCAGACAACCAACATGTCAGCAAAGCTGGTAGTCAAGTAGGCCGCACATCCAAAACACATACCCGGTCCCAATCGAAAGAGGTTGAAATACTTCGCAATTGCTCTTTCATCTTCGTTATATTCGACTCCGTCCATTCCGCAGGGTCTATCCCCCGTTCGATCGCCGCATTCTCCGCCGGCAGGCCAAACGCATCCCAACCCATTGGATGGAGGACCTCATGTCCGCGCATCCGGTAAAACCTAGCCAGCACATCGGAAATAGTGTACACGCGCAGATGCCCCATGTGCAACGTCCCCGACGGGTATGGGAACATCGATAGGATGTATGATTTGGGTTTTGCGTCTCCGTCGGCCGATGCCTTGGAGGGCGGCTTCAATGAATCTGTGTGCCATTTTTCCTGCCACTTTCTATCCAGGGCTAAGAGGTCGAGTTTCTTGGAAATTGATGTCGCAGCTGCGGAGGTTGTCGCATAACGAGAAGGAATACCGGTCGGTCGTGAAATCGGACGAGATGCGCAGTTCCAGCGGGCTGGGTGTGAGAGCGCCGACCGTGTCGGGCTCAATCGAAATCGTAGTAGGGATTGCATGTTGGTCGTATAATCATTATGCCGTGGGAGAGGAGTGTTGCGCCATTGACTGGCGTGGATTGGTGGGCTGGAGAGCTGGCAGTGGTGGAATTTCCGTCATGATTTCTTGATCGGATGGCTGAAGTCATATCGGCGGATCGGCATCGCCCGATAGGGAATAGTGTCAGCAAACAAGCAACATTGGTAGACACATGAGACTGTCAGGAAGTTACAGTATAGATTATAAAACAACCCTGTTGTAGCTTTTCGATGAGCGTCACGTAAGATTAGTACTAGTTAGTAGTAATGATCTGTAGAATTGTTCGATCATCGCACGGCTACTACTAGAGGCGAATCTACTACTGGTACTAGTTATAGATAAGTTTCCTGCGGGAATATATATCCACAGCTACTTAGTACTGTGGTGACACTGAAGAGACTTAATCATTGGGACTCACCAATGATAATACTCATCTACTACCGATATCATGAACATGCATTCTAGGTATGAGTACTAAGCATCCCAGTACTTCACACATGACCAACTCCACTGAAGAAGCAATAATCAAACCGCATTCCGATCGGGGACACTTTCAAACTATTGATGGACTGGTCTTGCGAATGTAGATAATGAGCTTGAAGAACACGCTTAACGCCCGAAATCAAAGAGATGCTTCTGGATGAATTTCTTGTGCTTCCCTATGAAGTCGTGATGATCTTCTTGTACGGCCATGGCCGCAGAGTGCCTATGACATTGAGATCACATCTATTGACAAAACTAGAATCATTGAGTCGGAAAAATATCACCTACAAAGTAACAAAAGTGTACACATTGGCGGACTTGAGAAGCTCGGATTGGAAAAGAACTCGTAAGTAGCTGGTTGGACTGGAGCACCATCATCAGAGCCAAATTGCTGGCTATGTACTCCAACAACACCAGTTCCCTAGCTACGATAACAGATCACCTTGCGGAAGATCATGACGAGAGAAGAAAGAATGCGACCAATAACGATGAGGTCTCTATCGTCTTAAGTTCAAGGGATTGCAGGCTCGGCAGGTACCCGTTGTGCCTAGACTGGAGACTTTAGTAGTATCTAGAATCTCTCACCCATCCGTCGGGCTCGGAGACTTGCCGTAGTCTCGTTGATTCTCGAGCTCCGACTCGCCATCCACCCACCGCATGTACTGGAATTCCCGTCCGCATTGCCAAGATTGGATCTAGATAGAGCCTCCCGTCTCGATCCCATCTGCTTTTACTGAACCAGACCCTTTCTTTAGACCCGGGATCGTGAATCTCATGGCCCACGTATTCATGAACACCTGTTCCACAGAATCACGCCCTGAAGAATTTAGCAAGGCGGCCTAGACATTCCAACTGAGTAAGTACCTACGGGGCTCCACTCACGGAGTACTCCGTGTGACTTTCCAGATTGATCAAGAGAATCACGAGCAGATTCCATTTTCGGACTCAGTTTATGAAGGCTCGGTTTCTGGATCAGCCACCCTCGGCACGGAAGGACCTCTATGAGGAAACTGGTCTCCTTTTTCCAGTGTGAATCATCGCTTGTTCGGATGGCAGCTCCTCTAACTAGTCCGTCCGTTTAGGGGTAAATGAAAAAGGAGAGCCATTGTAGGGGAAATGTTTCTATCCTTAGGATTCCATATTGCGGCTGAAGGACGAATAGCGCTCTAGAACCTTTGCATCATCGCTCTTGTGTGCGTACCGAGCTATTGGTGGCACACGAACCGGCCCTTCAAGTAGATGACCAGCAAGCCACAGCAAGCTGGCAACTTATTCCGGACATGGTGGTCATATAGAAGCCGTGGGATTTACTCCCGACGCGTTGATGACGCTCGTGCTGTGCAGAGCTGCTGTACGATACATCTACGGCCAACAGTGGGGGTAAACACGAGCCGGAGTCAACCACGAAGCGTGCCGATGCAAAGATAGATATAGGGGAGCCTGCATCGCCTCGAATTATGTGCGTAGATCGATCGGCAAAGCAGTCTATTTTTTGACCGTCCTGTCGGAATTGCACCTCCGTCGTCACTGGATTTGATTGCAGCACGCGTGGATAGGGAGCGGAAGAGTCAACAGTGCCTGAATTCCCAGGCAAGAATTAAGGGGTCACGGGCGGCAAGTGGGAATCTCGGGATCGGACGGATTTCTCCCCTTTTATTATTTTTTTCCCTCCACCGAAGCTCCCGCCCGGTTCGAGGATGGAACAATTGATTTGAACCCAGGTCCCAGAGCTTCTGCTGGCCGTTCCCGCTTCGATCTTTGGATCCGGTGGGCGGAGCGGAGATGAAATCCCCATTCTCTCCCTTACACGAACCATGGGTTCAGGGTTTCTATTAGTACTTTGGAATATTCCACCCGTGTCAGCCATGTCTTGAGACCATAAAACGGGCAATTCTTGTTCCCCCCACCACCCACCGTCACCCCTTGGGCAAAGTGATTTAATATTAAGCAAGTATGGTAGCTCATCTCGCTAATCCAAACCGGCTTGACAGAGACTCCACTTGGGATGAGTTGGCAACCTTAGGAACTGGGTTGATCCTTAGCTCTCTCTGCCTTTCAGGTTTTCTCTCAATTGGCCCCTATCATTGGGCTTTGACCGTGACAAAGGGACCAAAATTCCCCTCTCCACTGCCAATAAGACCTTCTGGAATGGCCGGCCTACTGTGACCCCTCAGCCACATCATCTCAGTGGATCTCGATCGCCGGTTCCTGTCGTCTTCTCCTCGAGGCCTCGCACTCCACTGGTTGGACTGGTCACAATCGGAATGGGTGCCTCGTGGGACCGATGGAAAGGATACCCCAAATGTGACGAGTACTAGACTAACTGGTACCTGAATTTTTTGTAGGTACATACAGGTGGGTGGAAAAGTAATCGTGCCTGCGGCACATGCGCTGCACCTATTATGTACGACGGCGAGACCTTGCATTTCAGCCGTGGGGAGTTGCGTCCCAACCAACCTACTACGTGCTCATCTTTCTTGTTCCTGCATGTGTGTAGGTTAGGGGAGGATGATGTTTGTGTCTCCTTGTGGGCCGAGGATCGAAAAGAGCCTGCCTGCTTGCTCTCCGGAACAATCACTGAATGCTTTTTAGTCTGAGTTGGTCCTAATTTCTCTGCCCGAGGATATTATTAGAGCAACACCACCACTGCCACCGGAGACAAAGCACGACGGATAATGAAACCATAGGAAGGGGAAGGGCATTAAATCAGCACAATTTTCGTATTCCGTGGACATCATCTTATTATGAAGAGACATATTATATTATTAGAGCTGATTGGCGATCGGGGTTCCCTATGACTCTACGATGTCTTGGAGGAGGATGACGAGGAAAGCGTTCTGGAGTTCCCAAGACAGGTTTAGCAGGGCTTACAAGACTAGTTCCAGACCCTCCTGGCGGCCATCCCGCGATCCCCGTTTAACTTAACCAGGCGAATTGGGAGGCGGGCGTCTTTCCCCAATGCAGGTGGACAAGCGACGAGCTGCAGGATCATTCCTTATCCGCCAATCGTGCGGTTTCAAAAGTCGTGCTCTAAAGCATGCAGCCTGCAGCGCCCCTGGATCGTCCATCGTCCATTGGAAGCATTGACTGGCCGTTCACACCGCCGCTGCACAACTGGCTGGTCTAAAGTGGGAGGGGGCCGATGTCCGGGGGGGGTCCCTTTAAATATTACTACGCCCGGGCTCGTCGTTTCAGGTGGAGGATCCCTTTGCTTCCACTCGTTTGTGTCTTTTCGTCGCTCTTTTGGAACTGGTTTGCGGTGCTTTTCTGGTCTCGGGTTAGACGCTCTTTTTCTTCTTTGCTACTGCTACTACTACTACTCCGTAGTAATCCGTTCTTTAGTTGCGAACCTGTCCCGCCGGTCGACATGACTCGCTAATCTTAACCTACTGGCCATTTTTTTTTTCCTCGGTCGGATCCACTCACTCTCTTTGGCTTCGTGTGCCCGTTGGACAGCGTTATCCGCTCTCTTCCCGTCGTTTCTGTGTCGAGACATTCTTCATTGCATCATAAAATTCTAGACAGCAAACAAACACTTATCACCACAACAAACATCGACTGGGCACTGTTACTCTTCCCCCCGGTTCACCCTCGGCGGCCATTGCTCTCTCGCCCTGAGACGTGCCCCCTCGGTGGTGGTCATTGTTGTTGTTGCCGCTGTTGCTTTTTACTCTCATTTCCCAAACCGAGCAGTCGTCGATGATCATTCTCATCGCCTTGAATCTTGTGTTCTTCTAGATCTCTTCCCCCCCCCCCTCCTCTCCTCCACTTCTTCCCCTCCGAAGTGCCCTTATAGAGCGGGGGTGCTCCTTTGCTTAGCCGCTTTTTCGAGATCTCTTTTTTGTTTTGTTCCCTCAGGTTCTTCTGGGGAACTCCATCTTTCTACAAGCCTTAATCTTGGTGTCTACTGACTGATAATGAACTAATACTCCCAACATGCGCTCAGCTGCACCTACCACGAACTCTCCCAAACGGAGAGCTCTTCATGAGCGCACCCCTTCCCATACGAATGAGAACTCCCCACCTTCATCCTTGCGAGCCGTCAGCGAAAAGTACAATGATCAGCAAGAACCCGACGTGTACACCTCCACGCCTTACCCGACAAAGCCGGAGCAGATCCTTTTACCGCGTCCTGGGAAAGGCCAAGATTTCATTCCGGACTCCCGCTTCCATGTCGATGAAGCGCCGGATCACTATCACGGGAATACCTCCACGGAACTCAGCCACCTCGGTGATAGCAGTTTGATCGACCAGTCCGTTAGCGATCCCTGGGACTTGTCTTCAACGTTCGATGCCGCCAACACCCCGTCGCAGGTCTGGGAAGACGATCCGTCCTCCAGCAAGTCTTCCTTTCCGGAGCCGGTCCTTCACGAATCCAAGCCGACCGATCAGAAATCGGATCAAGGTTCCGTCGCCGCGTACTCAGATGAGGAGCCCAACAGCCTGCCCAGAGCCGCCGTCCCAACTATCAAAAGCGTCGTATCGCAGACGCCGTCACGCGTTCCCTCGGGCCCCGAGACTCTGGCTTCGAGCAACTCCAGCCCCAATGTAGTGCCAATTGGGCCGCCTTCCAGTCCGAATTTCGTCGCGCTCGACAGCTCAAGTCTGAACTTCGTTCCTCTGGGTGCATCCTCGAATTCGGCCTCGATCACCCGCTCCAATTCCCTGTCCTCGCTAAACTCCCTGGGAACCGTGATCCGGTACATTGGAGCCGCTCAGTGGACGCATGGCTCGTCTTCAGAACACTCCAGCTCGCGCTCGCGTTCGCAATCGGTCCGCTCTAACCCTCCATATCGGGTGCCTTCCGTGCGATCCAATTCAACACAAGCTCGCGAACGGAGTCACTCTCGCTCTATCACCTCGTCGTCGCGTAGCGGGCCGCCATCAGACATTCAAGCCATCGTTGACAGCGGCGTATTCATCCAATACCCGACCATCCAGGCCCCATCTTCGTCAAGCTCTAGAGTTGACGTGTCACATTCGGAAGAAGATGCATCGGATCAGAACCCACAAGAACCCACCACGGATTTTTCTTCGGAGCGTTTCAGAACTCACCTGTCAACAGTTCCTTCCATGTGGTCCGCCGAATGTGACTCTAGAAGCATTTCTCCGGCCGCTGACTCTGTCAACAGCCAGATGGATCCTAAACGGCCTTCTGCGGCGCTAGTCCGTCAAAGACCCACGTCGTCTTCGATGTGGTTAGTGAGCGATTCGGACGGTGATGAGCGGATGGACAATCTTTCGAGCTTGCCAGCGCGTCCCACAAACCCGGCGGTTCCCTGCAGTGTTTCGTCGGAGTCAAGACAGAGCAGCATGCGGAGCAACATGCGGCCTCCCACCAGTGGAAGCTTTTCCTTCCACTTTCTGCCAAACTGGGCCAAGATGTACTATGGCGCTGGCGAGCAAGCTGAGGATTCTGTCTTATCTGGCGGGGAACCCAGTCGGCCACCATCTGCGCGCGCCTCAACCTCCCACACAAACGTTCTGAACCGGTTACCGACCGCCACAAGCCGGACGAGGACGAGGACGTTTGGCAGCGAAATGCGAGAAACTCTGAGGTGGAAACCTGACCCGCGCGATCCACGGAACCACTGGGTAAGGGATCCCGAATCACAAACCAGGGAACCTTCTCGCAATCGACTTCGACATAGCTGGTCCCCTCATCTATTTCCCGACCGGCGCGCGGTTAATCCGAGGAGAGGTACCTGGGGTGCACCGTCGTTGGATTCAAGAACGGAACCACTACTTGGACGAAGAAATATCCAAGTGTGGTCGTTCTGTGTTGGATTTGTGTTCCCTCTCGGTATGCTTCCCATTGTGCCCCGTGATAGTCGCCTGACATGTCAACTGACTGTGTGCACTAGCCTGGTTAATTGCGTCATTCCTCCCCTTACCGGCGAAACCGGACGCTATTCCGGAAAACGACGTCGAGTCACAGCTCGAAATGACGCTTCGAATGCGATTGTTCGATCTGGAGACACGGCGACACGAAAACGCTCGGTGGTGGAGAAACCTCAACCGTTGGATGAACCCTTTGGGGTTGGTGATTATCACCATTGTTGTATGTTCCCTCTCTTCCTTTCCGTTGACTATTCGATGCTCATACTTTCGCAGGTCACCTTGGCTGTTGTGGGTACCACAGTCGGCTTCTAAACCGGGTACATCTGGCTTCTATAGTGTCAGCATGTCCCCGTCTAGCTGTGCTCTTCTGTCCATGACCTCCACGATTATTGCTTGTACTACCATATCCCCCCCCTCTTATTCACGCCCTCTCTCGCCGGCTATGCCGGCGCCTATTCTCGATTGGATCGATCTTTGCTTTCACCGTTCGGAGTCGATTCCTCCATTTATACCCCCCTTCTTCTTTTGCATGCTACCTCCCCCACATACCCTTGCGCGCTTGATACCGCCGCATCTCTATTCCCCCTGCGGCTGCTTGGTTTGTTTACCTTTCTCAAAACACTCGACACGATTGGACGACGTAATGCTTCTAATGTTCTTTTCTTTTGTGCCTTATATTCCACCTGGTGTTCTGGACTCTATTTTAGCCCGCCCTTGGACCATTATTTGGTGAACAATGGGGTGGTTCAATCTGGGAGCGTGAGGCGACGGATTTAATCAAGGGTTCACGACATTGCATGGATATATGTCATTTTCCTTTTTCTTCTTTTTTTTTCTCCTTATTTTCCTATATCTTCACTTCTCCCCCATGTACTACTTATGGATACATGTTTTACTTATGACACCGTGACCAATATTATCACAGTATATATGCAAGTGGTTGTCGCGCTCTGCGTGGCTGCTCTTGACTAAAAATAGACAATATATGATATTATACTCATATAGTTTTCTCTCTGCACCCATTGTAAATCAGCCTGACCATCCTACTAGTTGAGCATCGATTCGTTCCCCACTTTATTTAGTTGTTACGATTATTCATAATCGAGTTCATCTTCAACTCGAAACAGATGATTATTATCCCTTTTGAGACAGGTACCAGCATCCTGGTAAAACCGACAGAGCTAAGAAAACGCGATATTGTTGAAATATTTCCCTGGCTTCAACTATGCAAAAGAAAGTAAATCTGGCTGGTTACGCTTGTTGTCGGAGGCTTCATTAGCATATAAGCACGAACAAAACGAGAAGGTGCATCAGCGCCAAAGAAGCATACATAACAATAGTATATGAATGAATCATCAGGATGTCACTCATCCAGAGCATAAACAACGAGTAAAAAAAAATAAAAACACGCAGCCGCCTTGGAGCAGCCAAACAGTATAATATACATTCTATCGTCAACCCCGTCAGTCATCCTCGTTCACACGTGTCGAATTAATTGGCTGTAAGCCAGACCGGTAGCAGGTCCTGAGAACTGAGATCTTGAGACCCTTTTTCTTTGGGGGGGGGGGGGTCACATGGGAAGTCACAGGATCAAGAAGATCATGTGAGCTTGCGGCCGATCTTGTTTTCCACAACTGCTTTCAGTTCCTCTCCACTCGGCATGGTAACGGCACTGCCGCGTCTGCGCCTGGCTTCGATCTCACCCCGAATCTCCTGCACGGCTTCGTCAAAGGCCTGGACAGCGTCACTTGGAAGACCCAGTGTCGGCTGTTGCAGGTTGTCGGAGCTGGTTGAGCGTGTGACATGAGGCCGGTTGCGGGCTTTAAGTTTCTGGATGAGGATGCCCTTGGCGGGGCTGGCAAAGAAGGCAATGCTGAGGATGTTGCCGACGATCCCGTAGAAGTAGACGCTCCGCCAGACGCTGATGGAGGCGCTGAACCCGAGGAAGATGAAGGGCATTACTGTGAAGGACAGGGTGACCTGAGTCGCGAACCAGCTCATGATGTCATAGTAGCGCTTGTAGGGTGTGGGCTTGCTTCCGTCCGGAGTGAGGAAGAACGGACGCACATAACGACGGAAATCTGCGTATTGTCAGTATGAGAGCTCAGTGAACGGGTGGGGTTGACTGG